TAGCACCAAGGGTTTAGGGAGGGCTAGCCACCAAGGGTTTTAGGGGAGGGCTAGCCACCAAGGGTTAGGGGAGGGCTAGTTACCAAGGGTTAGGGGAGGGCTAGCCACCAAGGGTTAGGGGAGGGCTAGCCACCAAGGGTTAGGGGAGGGCTAGCCACCAAGGGTTAGGGGAAAAGCTAGCCACCAAGGGATTAGGGGAGGGCTGGCCACCAAGGGTTAGGGGAGGGCTAGCCACCAAGGGTTAGGGGAGGGCTAGCCACCAAGGGTTAGGGAAAAGCTAGCCACCAAAGATTAGGGAAAAGCTAGCCACCAAGGATTAGGGGAGGGCTATTTACCAAGGGTTAGGGGAGGGCTAGCCACCAAGGGTTAGGGAAAAGCTAGCCACCAAGGGTTAGGGGAGGGCTAGCCACCTAGGGTTAGGGGAGGGCTAGCCACCAAGGGATAGGGAAGGGTTAGCCACCAAGGGTTAAGGGAGGCTAACCACCCAGGGTTAGAGGAGGGTTAGCCACCCGGGATAACCAGGGTTAGGAGAGGGTTAGCCACCCAGGGTTAGGGTAGGGTTAGCCACCCAGGGTTAGGGTAGGGTTAGCCACCCAGGGTTAGGGTAGGGTTAGCCACCGAGGGTTAGGGTATGGTTAGCCACCCAGGGTTAGGGTAGGGTTAGCCACCCAGGGTTAGGGGAGGGTTAGCCACCCAGGGTTAGGGGAAGGCTAACCACACAGGGTTAGAGGAGGGTTAGCCACCCGGGATAACCAGGGTTAAGGGAGGGTTAGCCACCCGGCATAACCTGGGGGTAGGGAGGGTTAGCCACCTGGGATAACCAGGGTTGGGGAGGGTTAGCCACCCGGGATAACCGAGGTTAGGGGAGAGTTAGCCACCTGGGATAACCGAAGGTTAGGGGAGGGTTAGCCACCCAGGTTAACCGGGGTTAGGGGAGGATTAGCCACCTGGGATAGCCAGGGTTAAGGGAGGGTTAGCCACCCGAGATAGCTGGGGTTAGAGGAGGGTTAGCCACCCGGGATAACCCAGTATAGTCAGTGTCTCATCGAGGACTGTTTGTCTGGATGACTAAGATGTATGCAACAGTTGGATATCTTTATTTGTTGAAATGCTTCTCCTACACAGAAGGCTTCTTCAGTCAAATACACAGGCAGCAGGTGTAGTAGTGAAATGAAAATGATGTAATTAGTCAATCAACCTTGGAAAAATAGTGTTTGAAGTGGTCAGTCCCTCAGCCTGGAGAATAGTTCAGCTCTATGGTCTAGAACAGTATCATTCCAGAATAGTTCAGCTTCATTTTCTGGAATGATATTGCTCCAGACCACAGAGATGAACTCTTCTCCAGGCTGAGGGACTGACCAGCTCGAATACTATTTCTCCAAGGTTGATGGACTAATTACATCATTTTCATTTCACTACTACACCTGCTGCCTCTGTATTTGACTGAAGAAGCCTTCTGTGTAGGAGAAGCATTTCAACAAATAAAGATATCCAACTGTTGCATATATGTCTTAGTCATCAACTTGTTGGTATTTTATTCCATTCTCAACATCACAGTCTGTCTTGTTCCCATAGAGGTCCTTCAGTCTTGTTCCCCAGGATGCAACACACACCAGTTGACTAACAACCAGGTGCACAGGGACAACAGGTGTAAGGAAACACACCTGCTCTTTCCACTTGAATAAAGCTTATTATAAATGAAGACAAAATTCACAGTTACTGGCAGTAAAGCCTCAATATAATGATCTTTGATATGACAAAATTTAAAAAATAATGGGCAAAATTTAAAAAAGATAATGGGCAAAATTGTGTATGCAATAGTACATTAGGAACAGTATAATGTGTCTAGGTGCATTTTTTTGGGCAGTTTTTAAAGTGTTCTAATTTAATGGACTCTTGGATAATCCCTCCTATTAGTCTCTTATATGAAGGTTTTACTTTACAAGAATTCGGTATCTGTACCTTTCATATACGAGTGAATTATAAGTTATACAGCGTAATACATGACCATAGGCCAGGATTATAGTATACAGTAAATCCTCCATATGATTGATTAATAGAGGGAACAGGTTGCTGGTAATGGTAGTTGTGGTGGATAGACAAGATAGTGTTTTGCCATGTTTGTAACAGTATTGGATAATTATGTAACTAATAGACGTTGTTCATTGTTTCCAAATTGATTGACCCAGCAGAATTTGTTTCATATTTTAGAAGTCCCATTATGTGTAGGGTTTACTGTACAATGGCATATTATTACCTGATTTTAATAATTAATGATGATATAAATTCTCATTTCAATATTTATGAAATGATCCATAGCATTATTACTATGAGTTACTCTTGATCTGAGTATGTATATAGTACTGGAGGGCCTGGCTTATACTGCTATTGCTGTAAAGCAAAAATCACTGTAAAGTGAAACATAGCCTTTTTCACTTTCAAATGCACATACAGTAAGGCCCCACTTATATGGCATGTTAGGTTCTAGGCTACTGCCTTAAAGCGAAATCGCCATAAAGTGGAACGCCCTTTTATAAATGCACATAAATGCTAGATAACAAGTTTATGCTAACATATATTAAGTTAGTAATACAACTAGGCATTAATAGTTAATAAAGAAGTAAAATACACATATAGTACACTCATTACTTACCTTAAAATATTTGCAGTCTTAATGTAGGATGAGATGAGTAGTATTTATTGTAAGTCAGGTGTGGTAGGTATGGTAGCCAGGCCAGGCTACCCCACCCACACGTAACACAATAAGACATTTAAAGCGTCCCAGAGTGATAAAGTGCATATACAGTTCACTCATTACTTACCTTAAAATATTTGTAGTCTTAATGTAGGGTGAGAGGTGAGTAAACGAGATAAAATGAATAAACGAGAGAGAGAGAGAATGAGTAAATGAGAGAGGACAGAGATGCAGAGTATGTAAACAAACAGATGAATGCATCTGGCTTTGGTTCATACACGTTTGTACTATATCATAATATAAACACTTTACATTGTGTACACGTTGTCTCCATGCTGGTGCAGTAGAATAAATAAAGAGCAACACTCCCATTTTCATTTAACACCATTTTTAGAAAATTGATGCTCTGAGTGAAGATATACAAAAGAAATAATTGTCTACAGTTACCATCAGTAATATTATTGTGTACACGTTTTCTTTGGTGTTTGACTATAGAAAACGTTATTCTGTTTGGTTCATACATGTGTTGGACGAACCTGTGCCAATAGCTCGCTGTGTTTGTTTAGATACGTATTAATTGCCATATCTTAAATCTACCAAGCAATCATGACACCCAGTAGGCATACAAGTGTTGCTGAAAGTTGCAAGAAAAGGTTTAAGCATTTAATTTTTAGAATTAACGAAGAAAATAGAGATTTTAGACAAGAGATAGCCTGTAGCCGGAATGAAGCATCATTTTGTACACAAAAAGAATGAGGTAAATATGAGTTTGTGTGATGACTGACTGACTTACTGACTTGACTGACTGACTGACTTGACTGACTGAATGACTTGACTGACTGATGACTTGACTGACTTACTGAATGACTTGACTGACTTACTGACTTGATTGAATGACTTACTGACTGACTTGACTGAATGATCTGACTGACTGAATGACTTGAGTGACTTACTGAATGCCTTAAAGTTAGACTTTTTCACTGAAGAGGACCCTGAGCAGTGCCAAGAACAGTTGATGCCTTACAGTCAATTGTATAACGTACTGTAGGGTAAAATAGAAGTGAAATCCCTTTCAGAATTTATGCACACTCCAGTACAACCATCGACATCAATACCAGCACCTCTACCATCCACCTCAGCCCATAGGACCACAACATAACTCTCCACTCTCTTCACAATCATCCACAAAAACCAGCATCCACAATTTAAGGTAAGAAATACTATTCTTTCTGTTACATTTGTAATCTTATGCAGTAAAAGCAACATAATACATCATGACAATGAACTACAATTACATATTTTTGTAAGATCTGTTGGTCAAAAAAAAAAGTTGTTTGGATTTTGGGACTCTCAGGAACGTAACCCTATTTTTCCCATAAGTTCTTCAGTTTGTCTCATATGGCTTTGCTTAACACGGCATTTTCAGGAACGTAACTACCCTGTTTAAACAACAGTCTACCTTAATATTTCCCATAAGAAATAATGTAAATCCAATTAATCCGTTCCAGACAACCAAAAATATTAACAAAAAAAATACATTTTATAGAGAATATAGTTTTACATACAGACTCTTGTTGGCATATGGAAGACGGCAAGGAGGGGGTGAGGGAGGAGAGGTTATCTCTACCACCATCACTACCACCCTCTACCACAATCACTACCACCCTCTACCACCATCACTACCACCCTCTACCACAATCACTACCACCCTCTACCACCATCACTACCACCCTCTACCACCATCACTACCACCCTTTACCACCATCATTATCACCCTCTACCACCCTCTACCACTACCACCCTCTACCACTACCACCCTCTACCACCATCACTACTGCCCTCTGCCACCATCACTACCACCCTCTACCACCATCACTACCACCCTATACCACCATCACTACCACCCTCTACCACCATTACTACCAGCTGCTGTGAGTAACAAAGGCAGACTGAGTCACGAATGTATGAGTGGCTGCATCCCGCAGGCAGGTGGACACGTTGGGTATGGACAATTTCCAAGTGGATGTAAGAAAACGGGGAAAATTTTCCTGAAAAAAAGTGGTCGAAAACTGAATTGTATGATAACCAGACCGGATGAAAACCGGGGTTCCACTGTATATATAAAATATGAAATAACTTTAAAACACTTGAAATTTTGGAAAGTTTCCAGACATAATGGAGAGATGTGGGGCTCATGGAGCTCACAGAGAATGTAAATAAACTGGGTGGGGCACGGTGACCGTATTAAAAAGTTAGGTGGGGGGAGCCGTATAGCGAGTTTTGGTCATAATTTGAAATGTCTGTATTAGTGGAACACTTTAAAGCGAAACACCGTGAAGCAGGGCCCTATTGTAAAAGCTTGATAATATGTTTATACAGGAGGGCCCCACTTATACGGCAGGTTAGGTTCCAGGCTACCGCCGTAAAGCGGAAATCGCCGTAAAGTGGAACACCCTTTTTTCCACTTATAAATGCATACAAACACTAGATAACAAGTTTACACTAACATATATTAAGTTAGCAATAGAACCAGGCATCAAAAAACAATAAAAAGGTACAATACACACATAGTGCACTCATTACTTACCTTAAAATATTTATAGTCTTAATCTAGGGTGAGACAAGTAGTATTTATTGTAAGAAATCAAGTGTGGTATGTATTGTAATAGCCAGGCCACCCCACCCACACATACTATTCTATGATATTTAAGCATCTCAGAGCGATAAAATGTATATACAGTTCACTCATTACTTACCTTAAATATTTGTAGTCTTAATGTAGGGTCAGGAGTAAGTAAATGAGATAAAACGAATAAATGAGAGAGAGAAAGAATGAGTACATGAGAGGGGGCAGGCGCAGTTATGTAAACAAACCAGGGGAAGGTAAGTTTTGTAAACAAACGAAATGTACACGTCTGGTTTGTGTACAAGTTACATTGTGTACAGGTTGTCTCTACATTGATACGGTAGAATTAATAAAGAAGAACACTCCCATTCTCATGTAACATCATTTTGAGAAGAAATGAAGCTCTGAGTGAAGGCAATGGAAATAAGTCACACTGACTTTTTTGGGTTATCCTAGGTTCTCTACACGTATGTTGTTATGTATGATAATCTATGTAACTGTATTTGTGTATACCTGAATAAACTTACTTACATACATACGAAAGGAATAATTTTCCTACAGTTACCCCCAGTAACACATTTACTCTTATGTTAGATTAGAGAAAATGTTATTCTTGCCGTCACTTGTACAAGTTATGTGGCTCCCACATCTTATATTTATGTTTATTTATTCTATTGTGGGGTGTATTTATCATCTTTTTATGTTATGTATCGTGTTTATTATATAATTTTGAAAAAAATATCATGGATGGATTAATGAAAATGTGTATATTACCGTAATATACGACATTTAATGAGACTCGGTATTGTTATTATCACCACTTGTGCAAGTCGTCTGCTACGACATCTCACATTTGTTTATTTATTCTACTGTGGGGTGTATTTATCTTATTTATATGTTATGCATCGTGTTTATATATAATTTTGAAAAAAATATCATGGATGGATTAATGAAAATGTGTATATTACCGTAATATACGACATTTAATGAGACTCAGTATTGTTATTATCACCACTTGTGCAAGTCGTCTGCTACGACATCTCACATTTGTTTATTTATTCTACTGTGGGGTGTATTTATCTTATTTATATGTTATGCATCGTGTTTATTATATAATTTTGAAAAAAATATCATGGAGGATTAATGAAAATGTGTATATTAACGTAATATACGACATTTAAATGACTCGATGTATGTAAGTTTATTTAGGTACAGGTATACATAAGTATAATTATCAGAGTATATATAAAATATGAAATAACTTTTAAAAACATTTGAAATTTTGGAGTTTCCAGACAAAATGGAGAGACTTAGTGCTTACTGAGCTCATGGAGAATGTAAACAAACAGGGTGGGGCACGGTGACCGTATTAGAAAGTCAGGTGGGGGGAGCCGTATAGTGAGTTTTGGTCATAATTTGAAATGTCCGTATTAGCGGAACGCCGTAAAGCGGAACGCCGTAAAGCGGGGCCCTCCTGTACTTATCATATATTAAGTGAACAATAGAGCTAGGTGTAAAAAATTCATATACAGTACACACATTACTTATCTTTAAATATTTTCATTCTTTGCTTATAGTGTGGTGAATATATTTATTGTAGGAAGTCTGAATGAATGAAGAATGGGTAGAATTGAAAACCACTGCATTAGCCAAACACTGTGAAGTGAACTGCTGTAAAGGGGCATCTGCTTGTATGTACTGTATAGCCTCTCCTCACTTAATGGTGGAGTTCTGTTCCTATGCCCATGTTGTTAAATGAATTCGTCACTAAGGGAGGAGCATACTATAATGGTAGTGGGTTGGTGTCAGCCATCTTTGATATTGTTGTAATGTCACCTTTGTACTATTTATAATATTTCTGATATACAGTGGAACCTCTACTTACGAGTGCATCCACGTGTGAGTTTTTCCCGATACGAGCAGCTGCTCGATCGACTTTTTGCTCCCAGACACGAGAAAAATTTCCAGATGCGAGTGGGCCTCAAAGGAGGTTAATTGACACTGGTAAGGGGGCTCTTGCTCTTTATCTAGGGAATTGGATCTCAGTTGTTTGTTGGACTGTCTTATTGACACTTGGGCAATGTATGATGAAAAGATGCTTCTTAACGTACACCAAAAATGAAAGAAATCGGACCATAAATAACGGAGTTCACTTCTGAGCCATTAGCCTCCTCGTAACAGTATATTTTCATATGGTTTTATGGTTGTATTCTCTTTTTATTTGGTCTCATGTGATAGAATGGAAGATATACTACAAAAATAAATATGATTTTAATTGGTTTCACGATGAAAAGTACCTTGAAATTGAGCTCAAAATAGCAGAAATGTTCGATTCTTTGGCGACATCAGTGGTAGACATCATGAGGCAGCAGTGGCAGACAACATGAAGCAGCAGTGGCAGACAACATGAAGTAACAATGGCAGACATCATGAGGTAGCAGTGGCAGACAACATGAAGCAGCAGTGGCAGACAACATGAAGCAGCAGTGGCAGACAATATGAAGCAGCAGTGGCAGACATCATGAGGTAGCAGTGGCAGACACCATGACGCAGCAGTGCCAAGGTGTAGCATTAAGAGTGTAGCAATTAAGTGAAGCATTAAGAGTGTAACACTTATAAGTCACTGTCTGACTTTTTTGGGTTATCCTAGGTTCTCTACACATGTACTCAGGAGCAGGAATGGCCACTGTGGTGGGCCTATAAATCCCAGCAACAACAATGGCTGCTGTCACCACCACTAGCCACATACCTAATGACATGTATCTTATTCATTCTAGTGTATATATCATGTTTCTGTGTTATTAATATTGTTTATTATGTCATATTACATGAATTGTGATAGATAAATAAGCTGTAGAGATTATATTAGAGAAATTATTAAAGTATTTTCTCATGTCTGGAATTCCACTGGAACGAATTAATTCCATTTCAATTAATTTAAATGAGGAAAATTGACTCTGCAAACATGCAAATCCAGTTGCGAGCAAGGTCATGGAGCAGATTAAACTCGTAAGTAGAGGCTCCACTGTATTTTTAAATGTTTATAGTGTACTGTATATTGTAATAAACAGAATAGAGGAAATCAGGTATGCATACTGGTCAGAGAGCCTGTCGTAAGTCCGAGTTGTCAGTAAACAAGTAAATCGCTAAGTGAGGAGAGGCTGTATGTACCCATTTTTGTTTTTCTAAAAATTTTTTGGGACCTTACAGGTATAGTAGATCCACCACTATGAGCGAAGTAACAGGACGTTTAGTTATTCAGCAATGTCTCAGTGCTGTTCTGAAGTTATCAGGTGCTGATGAAGAAGCACCAGACACAATTGAGGTAAGCTAGTAAGTCAGTAACTTTATTTATGCATAATTACACAATTTTGGATGATTATAGTTTTTTACATAGTAATATACATGTAATTTATGTAGGATAACCTAAAAAAGTGAGTGATTTATTTCCATTAGGAGCCTTGTATGTATTACCTAAGTATTATACACTATAAAAAGCATTTATTATCTTTGACAATAAAAACAAAAGCTAAGTAAATCAATGAAATTACATTAGTAATTAAATGAAATTACATGAGTAAATAAATGAAATTACATTATTAAATAAATGAAAAGCAAATCAGTTCATTATAATGTTGGCACAAATATAAACTGTACAAGGTCATTACTTTTCTCCCTTTCTGTTGCTTCATTCATTAGGTACTCTCTAACTTTATTCTTAAACTTTTATTGCTGTGTAATAGGTGTTTGAGTGCACAAATAATATGCACTGTGGAGATGGAAAGTAATGACAACATTTTGGTCCAGCTGAGACCATTGATAAGTGTGATTTCCTAGTGGTCTTTCGCTTGGCACAGTATGGGTTATTAATGTACTGTTCCAGCCATGGTTTTGTGATATTTTATTATTCAAGGTTGAACCCATGGCAAGTGAGTCCTAAAATTCACAGGCCAGTGCATTAACAATAAGTGAAATATTAGCACTTTTTCACAGCTTCTCTAAGTCCTTGAAGAACTGTCAGCATCACTACTTTTGTGCTTTGGGTTCATTATTAAGCAAAATTAAGGGCTATTTTTGGGCCACGGTAAATTGTGGATAACTGAAACTGGAAACCGAACCCATGGATACGGGGGTCCTCCTGTACCATAGAAAGGTTTGCATGGGCCCCACTGTGACTATTAACTTTATTAGCTTTATGTTTGTATTGAGGCTTTGATCTCTAAAAAAGTTTGGTAAATATACAGAGTATATACTTAACATAAATATACAGAGTATATTTATGTTACTCTTTTCGAATATACTGTTATACATATTGATAATATCTAGTACTTTAACATTTTAGATAGCAACATTTAGTACTTTCAGCATATAAGATTTTTTTCCTAATTTTCTTTTTTTTTTTAGATTGGTCGTGGTATGGTCGCATTTGTTTGCTTCCTTGATATGGCATCAGAAGAAACAGTACGAAAGTTAACTAAACACTTGACCAACGTACGTCTCTCAGAAAATGATGCAGGCCGGCGTGTTTCAGTGTGTGACCTTCAGGGCGACATACTCATCATTCCACAAGCATCTTTAGGGGGTAGGCTGAGGGGCAAGTCTATGCAGTATCACATGAATGTTGACAAGGTACTTGGGAAGGCTCTGTACCAAAAATTCTGCCAGAGTGTACGGACAGCTGTAGAAGAGGTGTCAAGTGGCAATGTCAAATGTGGAGTCTATGGTGCAAGACAAATCCTGAGCACAGATACCAATGGCCCATTCACTCATATAATAGATGTGTGACTGTTTCACATCTAATGAAGGAAACTGATAATATGTGACATCTAATTTTTGTCTTTCAGTTTCAATTTGGAAATTAACTGTTTTCCACTTTAACCTTTGGCATTAATGTAAGTGTTATTCTTTACCTGTATTTATGTCAGATGTGCTGAATTACTGTAGTACTAGTGATTATTGCTGACTTCTGTTATTATTAATTATAGTAAAATCATTGCTAACTAAAATCCTCACCCATCTGATGGAGTGAGGATGCTATGGGCATCTGAACTGTGATGTTAGTGCACTTCTGGCAAGACAGTGATTGAATGAATGATGGAGAATACTTTTTTCTCTATCAGTGGGTCACCCTACCTTGGTGGGAGATGGCTGGTGTTAAAATAATTGTTTTTTTAACACGTCGGCTGTTTCCCACTGAGACAGGGTGACCCCGAAAGAAAGAAAAACCCAAAAAGAGAGAAAAAACTTTCATCATCATTCAACACTTTCACCATCATTCATACATAATCACTGTCTTTGAAGAGGTGCTCAGATAAGGCAGTTTAGATGTCCGTCCAAACAGCCAAAATCCCAAACCCCTCCATGAAAGTGTAGGCATTGTACTTCCCATCTTCAAAACTCAAGTCCAGCTAACTGGTTTCCCTGAATCCCTTCACAAAATATTACCCTGCTCACACTCCAACAGCTCATCAGGTCCCATTCGTTGCCACTCCTGTCTAACACGCTCATGCACACGTGCTGGAAGTCCAAGCCCCTCGCCCACAAAACCACCTTTACCCTCCCTCGAACCTTTTCTAGGACAACAACTGCCCTGGCTTCCTTTCCTTACAGATTTATATGCTCTTCAAGTCATTCTACTTTGTTCCACTCTCTCTAAATGACCAAACCACCTCAACAACCCCTCTTCATCCCTCTGACTAGTACTTTTAGTAACTCTACACCTCCTCCTAATTTCTACACTATGAATTCTCTGCATAATATTTACACCACACATTGCCCTTAGACATGACGTCTCTACTGCCTCTAGCCTCCTCTACGCTGCAGCATTTACAACCCATATAAGAGTGTTGGTACCACTATACTCATTCCCTTCTTTGCCTTTGTGGATAATGTTTTTTTGTCTCCAGAGATACCTCAAAGCACCACTCACCTTATTTTCTTCATCAATTCTGTGGTTAACAAGTTAACTTCCAAATATCTGAACACATTCACTTCTTCCATAATCCCTCCCTTCAATGTGATATTCAGTTTTTCTATATCTAAATCATTTGATACTCTCATCACCTTACTTATATCTATGTTCACTTTCAACTTTCTGCCTTTACACACCCAAAAATGTATCAAGTACAATATACTTGATTTAAGTGCTGTTGGCTTTAGGGCTGTTTGTGTGTAGATTTATGTCATGTTTGGCCATTCCTCCCTCCCAGCGCATAGATAGAGAGATGTATATAATGAAATTGTATGGAAAACTTAAGATCTGCTGAAAGGATTCAAGAGCTGGTGGAAGGGAATTGCATATTGCATTGTATCCTGTGATGATAATTAAAAAATATATAATTAAAATACAGTAACCTATCACTAACTGATTTTAGCAGTTTAGGACAAAAATTGGTTTTACTGGACATATAATTCCTGAATACTAAAAACAATGTTTGTTTAACCCGTAAACGGTCCAAACGTATATATACGTTTTTTCTACATTTGAAAGTATGTAAAAAAAGTAGATCTTTTTTTTTTTTTTTACATTTGAAAACATGTAAAAAACTTTGATCTACTTTTTTTTTTGTTATATTTGGAAATATGTAAAAAAAACGTAGATCTACTTTTGGAGCACTACGCATATGAACATAGATCTGCTTGGACCATTTACGGGTTAAAGTGTGACTTTTTCTGTATCAGTTATTATTAGATTTAGGTTGTTGAAGGAGCATGATATGATGAAATTAAGTTTCATATTGCTGTGAATGTGATAACACTGACTACTAATGTTATAAATATTTAGTTTTATGTACGTATATATATATTTCAAATTTTTGAGAACAAATATAGTTAACCTTTCTCAAGAAAGGGTAAAACTTTTTGACTCTGTTTATTTTTTTTATTTTTTTTCTAGAAAGTCAATGATTAGGATGTACTTAATGGTGCTAACAGCTGGTGTATATTTAAGGATAGAAAAATATTTTAATATTTGAAATTTATAATATTGTATTCTTTTAAGCTAGTTTTATAATATAGTTTTAATCTCCTGCTCTAAATATGTAGCCACAGAGCATTCAACAATACAGAAAAATAAAATATAAAATAGATAATATACTACATCCAGTACACGTGTCTACCATAATTTCATTAGAAATGAGGACTGACGCGTATAACACTAAAATAATTACTTAAAGATTTTCCTTGTATTTTTGCTTTTCTTGACGAAGATTTTCCTTGTATTTTTGCTTTTCTTGACAAATTCTGTATAGTGAGAGAAATTTTTAAAGCATCTAAAAACCTATGAATTGTTGGTCAGTACAGTATTTCCACAATATGCATATTTCATTTCAGAATGAAATGTCACATTTCTATCTTTAATCTTCCCTTAATATATTTGTTATTTTGCATCTCTACCTATTAAGTCATTTTTGCTTGGTTTACCATATTTCGCAGCTTATTAGACGCATTTTTTCCATAAAATGTCTCCAAAAACCACCCTGTGTACTATAAACTGAAGGTCAGTGACGGGAGCTATAAGTTTGAGGTGTGGGGTGGGCTGTAGCTCTCCCAGTTTCGTCCGATGCCAAGCTACTGAAACTAAAACAAGTCTTATAAGCCACGAAATATGATAACAACAATCTCTAAATGCTGCTATTAAAAATCTGTATTTTTGGTTAAGTAATACACCAGGATACGTGTTGTCATTACGATAGCATAATTTAAAATTGACTTATTTCTTGAGTAATAAAAAATAGTTAGAAGCATAGTTAGAGACAGCTGTTTTTACATGTATGGAAGCTTTAGGGAACTGGGCATTATGAGTAATATTGAAGCCATATAATCATGAAATTGTGAGTGTGGGATAAATATTATATTAATTAATTAAGGTATGTTATTTTACCTATTAAGTTAATTTTTACCTGAATGATGCTCAGTAAACAAAAGAATTTGTAACACATTTACAAAATTTTGTTATTGTCATTGGCAATATCATGATCACAGTCCTATTGTAGCTTCTTGACACATGGGAAAAGTGATACTTGAAGGGCTCATGTGAGTGTGTTAAATTCAAATTCATTTTTTTTTATTTTATGCAGTATACAGATAATATAGTGTACATGTAATAAAATATTGTTAGGCACAAAAGAAAGCCACTAGCATGTGGTGCATTTCAGGCAAAGAATGAAGGGAGACGAGTGGTTTTTAATGGACGTGCTATTGGAGAGTAAGCAGAGTAACTTTTATGAAGGGATTCAAGGAAGCTGGTTAGCCAAGCTTCAGTCCCTGAGGCGGGAAGTACAGTGCCTGCACTCTGAGAGAGTGATGGGGATGTTGCAGTCGGAGGGAAATCTGATTTGTGATGTCAGCACACTTCTGGCAAGGCAGCAAATGAATGAATGATGGTGAATGTATTTTCTTCTTTGAGGTCGCCACTGCCTTTTCAAGAAATGGTCATTGAGGTAAAAAAAAAAAAATCATGTTCTTATTCTAAGGACATCATGTACTATGTGTTTTGAAAAATGATCCAGTAATATCTTACCAATATGAGTGCATTATTTAAACCCAGCAATCACTGGATAAGTGAAGAGTAATAAATACTGAAAATCTGTAACAAAAAATGTTTCTCTTATCTGAAGTGACTGGGATTCGAACCTGGGGTCTGGCAATTCCAGACCTTGGGTTCAAAACCCAAGTACTCCACTCTTACTATAAACAGTAATATTTTATATGTACTATACATATTACCTTTTACTTATTTTTCTAAATGCTGGTGAAAGGCTCTTTGTCCAAGGAATAGGAGTTGTCTCTCCCTTGAATTAAACCTGAATGCCTTTCATTCCCCAGGTGCTGTGTGACCTCTGCGGGTTTAGCACTTCTCCATTTAATTAATAACAATCTTCGATGCTCTGACATGCGTTTTATGCTTGCCCATCTCTCGGAGGGTCCTACCTCTGATGCAGACACTAAGCTGTTTTAACTGACACCTCTGATACAGACTCATGTATTAACAGATACCTTTGATGCAGACTTTTCAGTTAATTAACTGACTGATCTACTTCAACTGTGACTCACAAAATTTCAACCTATGTCTCTCAGGACACCCACCTATCCGTCCCCTCGGCTCCCGTCTCTCTTACTTCTGCTGTGCAGTGCTGCGTGACCCTTGATCCAAAGAACTGGCATTGTCCTCCCCTTTCTTTAATCAAACCTGAATACCTCCCTTTTGCCAGGTTCTGTATGACCCTAATGTTATTAGTGTTTTCCTAACCCCTCCTCGGAGGGCTGAGGAGGGGTAGTTAAGGTTTTGTGTGTGAGAACTTAGAATTCCAGCAAGTGTGCATGAGCATGTTACTGTATACAGCCTCTCCTTACTTAGCGATGTACTCGTTTACTGACAACTCAGACTTACGTCGGGCTCTCTGACCAATATACATACCTAAATAATGTATGTTAGAGCTGATTTCCTCTATTCTGTGTATTACAATATACAGTACACTACTGTATAAAGATTTAAAAATATACAAAAAAGTTATAAATGGTGCAAGGGTGACATTAAAGCAATATCAAAGATGGTTGACATACACCCACTACCACTACAGTATGCTCCTCATTTAGCGACGAATTCGTTTACCGACACGGTATTAGGAATAGAACATCGTTAAGTGAGGAGAGGCTGTATATCCTGTACCCAGGTGCTGTATGATCCTATTCATTTAGTGCTTCAACCTACAGTTAATACTGCAGTTAATTCACTAATGCTTTAGATGTGCTTTAGCTTTTTTCTCTAAGTTTGTCCGTCCAATACGATATTGACAGGAGATCAGTTTTATAATTTAAAAGCTAACCTATGATTGTTCATTATCAAAAGAGATGTAAAATAATTAATATTATGAATGCAGGTAAGCAATTCTAAGGCTTGTTGTACCTGGTTGTAGCTTAATTCTCAAAATGAGGACCAACCCAGGCAATCAGAGGCAAGGGCAGACACAAGGGAGTAGTTTTTTCTTTCCCCATATAATCCCTTCACCATGATAATGTACAGTATTACAGAGTTAAATAATCAGCAGTATAACAATAATGTGCTAAAGGACAAAGAGCCAGTCATAACAGTTGGTTTTGCACCTCACCTGGCAGGGCCAGCTCTCATGCTACTGAGTGACTGAACTGGACAAATAATAAAGTAGTGGGGCCTCTAACTACTCCATTATGAATTGCCAGTCGGCTGGTCAAAGAGATGGGTTAGTTGTAGTAGTAGTTGTCGAAGTCGTGAAGGTTATGTACATGTCCTCAGAATTAAGATTCCATGATATTGCAGTGTCTGACAAGTTGTGTACGAATGGTATATAATACACGACTTCGACAACTACTACTACAACTAACCCATCTCTTTGGGAAGGACCTACTTCCACTGGGGAATCCCGCCTACCAGTGAATATGCCCTCGTCTGCTACACCTGACGTTACTATATAAGCGCCAGGATTCTTTCTTCTGCTTCAGAATCTCCACGACTATGGTGCTGTTCGCACCTACTCCTAGGTTGAGGGACTGATTACCTCATCTTCTGTACATAGTTCTACTGTCTTCAAGTTATGTCCTAGAATTTGTATTGATAAAGCCACTGGATGGCAAAACGTCTACAATAAAGATACCCAGATGTTGCACATGTGTCTTACTCTCATCTTGTCGGTATTATATACCATTCGTACACAACTTGTCAGACACTGCAACATCATGGAATCTTAATTCTGAGGACATGTACATAACCTTCACGACTTCGACAACTACTACTACAACTAACCCATCTCTTTGGGAAGGACCTACTTCCACTGGGGAATCCCGCCTACCAGTGAATATGCCCTCGTCTGCTACACCTGACGTTACTATATAAGCGCCAGGATTCTTTCTTCTGCTTCAGAATCTCCACGACTATGGTGCTGTTCGCACCTACTCCTAGGTTGAGGGACTGATTACCTCATCTTCTGTACATAGTTCTACTGTCTTCAAGTTATGTCCTAGAATTTGTATTGATAAAGCCACTGGATGGCGAAACATCTACAATAAAGATACCCAGATGTTGCACATGTGTCTTACTCTCATCTTGTCGGTATTATATACCATTCGTACACAACTTGTCAGACACTGCAACATCATGGAATCTTAATTCTGAGGACATGTACATAACCTTCACGACTTCGACAACTACTACTACAAACTAACCCATCTCTTTGGGAAGGACCTACTTCCACTGGGGAATCCCGCCTACCAGTGAATATGCCCTCGTCTGCTACACCTGACGTTACTATATAAGCGCCAGGATTCTTTCTTCTGCTTCAGAATCTCCACGACTATGGTGCTGTTCGCACCTACTCCTAGGTTGAGGGACTGATTACCTCATCTTCTGTACATAGTTCTACTGTCTTCAAGTTATGTCCTAGAATTTGTATTGATAAAGCCACTGGATGGCGAAACGTCTACAATAAAGATACCCAGATGTTGCACATGTGTCTTACTCTCATCTTGTCGGTATTATATACCATTCGTACACAACTTGTCAGACACTGCAACATCATGGAATCTTAATTCTGAGGACATGTACATAACCTTCACGACTTCGACAACTACTACTACAACTAACCCATCTCTTTGGGAAGGACCTACTTCCACTGGGGAATCCCGCCTACCAGTGAATATGCCCTCGTCTGCTACACCTGACGTTACTATATAAGCGCCAGGATTCTTTCTTCTGTTTCAGAATCTCCACGACTATGGCGCTGTTCGCACCTACTCCTAGGTTGAGGGACTGATTACCTCATCTTCTGTACATAGTTCTACTGTCTTCAAGTTATGTCCTAGAATTTGTATTGATAAAGCCACTGGATGGCGAAACGTCTACAATAAAGATACCCAGATGTTGCACATGTGTCTTACTCTCATCTTGTCGGTATTATATACCATTCGTACACTACACATAATTATTATTATTATTACAATAACACATATGTACTACTACTAATAATATTATTATTAAACTGTAATATAATAATCGTGTCCACTCATTACTTACCTTAAAATATCTGTAGTCTTAATGTAGAGTGAGAGGCGAGTAAACAAGATTAAATGAATAAACGAGAGAGAGAGAGAGAATGAGAGTGTAGAAGGTTCACGAGTTATGTAAACAAACGTTGTTGTTGTTGTTGTTGTTGTTACCAGCCCAGACACAAATGGTTTTTGTTCACTATGTCAAGCCGACCAGAAAAACATCTCATATTTGTTAATTTTTATGTTTATATGTTACGTAGCATGTTTATTATATAATTTTGAAAAAAAACATAGATGGATTAAGCAAAATGTCTATATTAACGTTTTATACACATTTAATGTGCCTCAGTGATTATTATTGTGTTATTATCAATATTAATATGGCATCTTCAAGACCAATTACACTCTTAATGAGTGGCTCTGAGACAGATAAGCGGACAGAAAGACAGACACAGGTAGACAGAAAGACAAACACACAAGTAGACAGACACAGGTAGACAGACAGACACACAGGTAGACAGAAAGACACAAGTAGACAGACAGACACACAGGTAGACTTAAAGACAGACACACAGGTAAACAGAAAGACAGACACAAAGGTAGACAGACAGATAAAAAGACACACAGAGATACAGACAGACACAGATATACAGGCAGACAGATATAGACAGGTTTATGTGCAATAAGGAAAACAAATAGAGTTCGAGAGTAAGAGCCTTTCTTGCCACAATCTCCAGTGCAAGATTCAGACTTCATCTTAGGGGCCATGGTGAAATTTACTGTCCAGTTAGCACAGTTAATACAGTATGATGCTGCTGATAGGGCAGGGTTACTCAAACTGA